CGCAGCCCTTCCCCAGCGCTCGCTCCGGCCGAGGATGCCGGTGGTCCTCAGGAAGCTTCTCCCCGCGTGCTGGCATCCTGGCAAGGATGTCAGTGGTTGGTGGTGATGTCAGGGGAGCACTGCTTGATGCAAACACTTGAAACAAACAAAAAATTGTGACTGAGACCTCCTTAACTTACGTTATTCCTGCATGATTTAATGAAAATGGTGATTTTTTTTTCCCCCATCCGACACAGGGTCCAAATGAATTCAGCGCCTTTACTCTAAGTTGTTTCAAATGGCATTGCTTTTCTGACTAAAGGTACTTCTGTGTTTCAAGTAGTTCTGAAACAATGCGTTTGGAGTGGCATGTTGTGAAATGACATAAATGGATCTGTTCTGAAATTTCCCTTTTAAAGGAGCATGTAGTGATATTACATACACTTTGCATATGCTAAAGTGACTTTTGTAGTTAATTCTTTGTCATTTCACTTAACCTATAAGAACAATCTGTGACACGCTCCAGATGGAGTCCATTTAAAATTTTACATTGCAAAACCTCGTGTATTTAAAGAAAAAAAAAATCAGAACAACATGGATACTGGTTCTTTTAAAGCATCTATAAAGTGTATAGGACATGATAAGATTTTTTTCTGAGTGCTGATTTTTCTGGTTTGATATGACAAATGTCTTCTTCCAGGTGTGAAATGTAAAACTGGCTGCCACCCAGAGAATGGATTTTGTGAATCTCCCAGTGAATGCAGGTAAAAAAGATCTGTCAGACAGGGCTATTAGCACAGGAATGGACGGCTTCAATAATTCATACTCCTGGTAAAATAGAAGCTGAAATGATTTGCTCTCTGAAAATATGTAACCGTAATGAAACAGCACTCTATTAGGATACAGTAACCGGATTCATAGAGTAGACATCTAGGTGCATTTTTAGTCTACTTTTTCCAGTAAGAAAAGTCTCTACACTCATTTATTTTTTTCTCACAGAATGAAAGGGTTTTCTTCACATAAACTGCTTCTACCACCCCAGAAGCACTGATGGTATCTTTTTGTTCAAATGTGCTGCATAATTCAGTTTGGTATCCGAAAGTTTATTGTGCCTTGAAAACGGGAACATCCTTGTAATTATGTTTATTAAAAATAAACTATGCCTCTATCTTGTCTTTTATCTCTTTCAGGTGTCAACCCGGTTGGCAGGGTGCTCTTTGTAATCAGTGTGTTCCTTTCCCCGGGTGTTTGCACGGCAGCTGTGCCAAGCCCTGGCAGTGCATCTGTGAGGAGGGCTGGGTTGGCAGCCTCTGTGACATAGGTTTGCACATCCTTTACTTTCCGTGAGCAAGGGAGGTGAAACAGCCCCACCTGGTGCTGCAGACATGCAAAATTCCTTCCGGAGAATCAATTTTAAAATAAAATTGAATGTTCGTGCCAGATAATAAGGAGGTTCTGGGCACTGGCACATAAACCTGGAACTTTTGTACTGTTTTAGGCAGAAGCATGCAGTATCTTTTGTAACTGGGCATACTTGGTAACTGGGCATACTTGTGAGCAAAGCATAAATTCATCATTCTATTTTAAATATTGATTGTCGTTGACAAGGCCAACAAATAACTGCTCCATTGTCATACAAGCCTTTTCTCTAAAAATACAGGTCATCTTTTATATATTAAATAATTTCAAATATTTACATGACACATTATGTATCTGCTACTTTTTGTTCAGAAATATTTCTGAGCATAATGCTTAATACTTCTTGAAAAGGAAAACATGGTTATTTCTTCGTTTACTTAACCCAGTGATGACTTAGTGGAGCAGCATTAGTATACCTGAGAAAAAGGTCTGCCTGAATAGGCTGCCGCTTCCCTCTCAGATCTGAGGGATAAGCGCAGCTTTCTCACCCCTTGCCAGTCAGTATGAGACAGCTTAGCATAAGCAAACTGAAGAATTGGCCTTCGCTGAGCTCGTTTATTTTGGCTGACACAGACAAATGTTCAGCCAAAGAGATCTGAGGGGGTTGAAACCGCATGAGCATCCAGGCGCACGCGCTTGTTCAGCCCATGTAGCTGCAGCTGGAAGAGGACAGGCGTTCAGGGCCTCGTTCTGTTTTCAGGTCTTTCGGGCTTTTGTTGCTATACACCTTATAATTTATGGAGCATATGTGTGTTCTGCCAATAACTACTCAAACCAGTAATTAATCGTGACACAGTTTGAACTGGATAAAATTTTCAAGGTGAGTAAAAGACTCAGAAGATTTCAGGTAACTCACATCCTTGCAGTGGCATGGAGCTTTCTACAAGGTACTCAAGTACTCATTTAGCTTCTCATCAGATTTTGCAGCCTGTACTCACAGGCTACACTTATAGGCATAGGCAGGCTTCCTAGTTTAGAGCTAGTCCTGGTATGTTTGCATGGGCTGCAGTAGCAGTGGTGCAGATGTGACTATAAGCTCTCAGAGATGTTGCTCTAGACAACTCCTCACATGTGTTTGTAGCTGACGCAGCCACCTAGATTCTCATTAGAGTCAGGGAGGAGGAATGGGTTCCTCTGTTTCTGTGATCTACAGTCATAGATTTCTAACACTAGACAGAATGACCCACCACTGCCACCTCAGGTGGTTCAGTTCTTTTGCTTGTCAATGACTCCAAAGGGCCAGATTTTTAAAGGTACCACCTTCACACCTGAAGATTCCTGTGAGAGAATATTGAGCTTTTCAAGATGGGCTCACTCGTAAAAGCCATACTAAGTGTCTAGCTGAATTTCGAGGCACTTAAATATCTTTGCAATTCTTGGCAACCTTTCCCTCTTGCAAATGGTACTTAGGATGCAAAGCAATGCTTTGGAAACTGTACTTGTATTTTGTGGAAAAATATTATTTTAATACATAGTCATTAAGATAGTTCTAGAATACAAAAAAGGTATCCCTTGCTTCAGTTCAGAAGCTATTATTTCTCTCAACACTCGGAGTCATGTCATAATCTTCTTTGCCAACTTGAATCTCGGTCCCCATGAAGAGGTGCCAAGAATACTCAGCCAGAAAGAAATAACCATCTTTTCATCTGCAGGGCCATGTTATGTTGACAGTCCTTCATCTCAGTGGATTTACCTACTCTAAATGCATTGTTCTGCCACAAGGGATGTAAAGAAGGGTCCTCCTTGTCTTGATACTGGAAGGTTGCTACAAATTGTTATCCTGACCCAATAAAGCACTGAAACCTCAAAGGGGTTAATTGCTCAGCTACCAATCTTATTATTCTCTGTTGAAAAGTTGGTGTCAGTTTTCTGGCTGTATAAAGTCATTACAGACTGATATAATTTATTAACGGGTACCACTAAATTAAACTTGATTAGGTTAGGAAAAAGGAAGGCTTTTGAAGGCTCCTGCTCTTTTGGGGTTCACTGGCATATACACATTACTGGTTTTTAAATATGGAAATACAAACCCATCAATTTCTTAACATAAAGTAGCAGATGCCCTGCCTCTCCTCCTACTGAACTTTTGTGTCCGATGAGAGCAGGCCACAATTGTTATATTTGTCACTTGCATTCACTTGACATTAAGTGTCATTTTTTAGCAACTGGAGAACAGTTTTAGCTTCAGGTGTGTAATCAGATAAGGCATTTTAGAAAGCTACATTTGTATGGTTTCTGTGGAGATTGATGAAGGGTCATAAGGAATGTAGTTTTGTCATTCTCTTGAAATTCCTCCTTTTTGCTGCTACAGAAAGTGTAATGTTTTCCAGGGAATTTCTGGTGTAGCCACTGTTTTAGTGTTGTCTGTTGTGAGGAAATGCCAACACACAGGGATGGCAAAACTGGGAATGGGAAACTGTGGGAGGCTCTGAAGTTCATTTGCTCACTACCGTAAACACCTGAAATATTTGTAAGAAAATAGATATAGTCTCAACAGCTTATTTGCTTGCTATGCACGGGAAGAAAAAAGATGATCTGGAACGGTGGTGGTATCTCTTTTTCTATTTTCTACAAAAGTTTGAGCATGGTCTCCCTGGCTTGGATCATGGAAGTTCCTTTCTGGAGTAGTTTTACATCATCAGGTGGTCTGCTAATGCCTCTGACTGTGTAGCTGTTTTTACTGTGGGCAGCCTGGTTCTCAGTTCAGGTCAAGAATGACCTTCCCAGCAACTTATTCCAATCTAGATTATAGGTCAGGCTTGATCCACTGTAAACACCTAGGCCAGGATCAGTGGTATCAATTATGGCTATTATTGCATCACGTGGACAGACATGGCACAGAAAGAAATCTATGAGTTGGTATTCATATTAACGCTGCTGGTTAATCTCTTTGCAATGGCATCCACCAGCCTGCCTACCCGAATGCCATGGCATCTTCTCATCCTGTGGAAACACAGCCTTGAATTTGGGCATATGAACTCCTGGAACCAGGCTGCACAGCACAGGGTTTCCCTCGGTGGCTGGCTGAGATACTACACAGGAGCAAGTACCACATCAAACACTGAACGTAACAAAGGGAAAAACAGTTTATCATAGACTCATAAAATGTTTTGGGTTGCAAAGGACCTTAAAGATCATCTAGTTCCAACCCCCCTGCCATGAGCAGGGACCCCCTCCACTAGACCAGGTTTAGTCAATTTATTTCCAGGAAAAAAATTACAGCCCAGTCAGAGTATATCATCCTTGGGGATACTTAAGTGATGAGTTGCTGTGGTGCTTAGGGGCATGGCTTAGGGTAGACTTGGCAGTGCTAGGTTGACAGCTGGCCTCAAAGATCTTAAACATCTTTTCTAACCAGAACGGTTCTATTATTCTATGATTCTATATGATCCACGTTGCTAAAGAAAATCAGTTGTCTGTCATCTTGTCATCTCTGGCCATGCCTGAACAGTCATGTTAGTATGCCCCTGACCTCCTGTCTTAGTCTTAGCCTCAATTTGACTAAAAAGCCAACAGGTGAGTATACTGTGCTACATGCCACTCAACTGCTTTGCCAAGGACCTGACATCAAAGACATGACAAAGCTGTCATCAAAGACAGTAGAGGTGAAGCCTGTAATGCCCATGCTAGGCATTCATGAGAAATTCTGCTGTGGCATAGATTGCTACTGAGTGTGCCTTCCTTGTAAAAACACACAGTGATTGCTTTATGCATGACAACTTAGTTTTATGCAAATATCAATTAATTAATTAATTAATAATCTGATTGTGCATGCAAAGTGGTGGTTGTATTGCAATGAACACAGACTAATACATTAGAAAATCACAGAATCACAGAATGGTTTGGGTTGAAAGGGACCATAAGGATCATCTAGTTCCAACCCCCCTGCCATGGTCAGGGTCACCTTCCACTAGACCAGGTTGCTCAAAGCCTCATCCAGCCTGGCCTTGAACACTTCCAGGGATGGGGCATCCAATCCACAGCTGGGCAACCTGTTCCAGTGCCTCACCACCCTCTCCATGAAGAATTTCTTCCTGATGTCAAATCTAAATTGACCCTCTTTTAATTTAGAACTATTACCCCTTGTCCTGCCCTTGTAAAAAGTTCCCCCTCCAACATTCTTGTAGGCCTCCTTCAGATAATAGATCATCTTATCCAGGGAAGATTGTATTTCAAAACCAGGGCTGTTGAAATATTTTGCTATTGTTAAAATTTTGTAGTACATCATGATATTCTCTAACTTCCATCTTACGTTGTAGGAAGGAAAAAATAAATGCCCTTAAATCCCTTTTCATCTTCTTAGAAAGTGTATTTGTGCATGAGTGTGTGAGAGATCAGACAACTTGCAGTCAACACTTCTTTGCAGCTGCTCCATTAGCTGCCTAAATATGCACTTGTTTGTTTATTTATTTTTAATTATTTAAAAAAATTAGTAATCATTTGAGTGGGAAGTGGCTTGGCAGGGAAATTATAAGAAAATGAGATGTGTGACTTTGGGTCCAGATGTCATATAGCTCTATCTTCTGGTACAATTATGTAAGGGTTAGATGCAGCCCAGCCAAAAAGATGAAATTTTAAGATTTTTTTGTAACTTACTGATCTCTGTTATTATGAAATGTTTGTTCATAAGCACATAATGATAGGGTCTTGGGCAGGGAGTGCAGAGAATTCCTGTTCTTGATTGCTTTATCAGAATTCTGCTCATGAAGAAGCCAAAGATGTGAAAGGATAACAAACCTACATTGTACTTTCTCCCCCACTAATATTTTATTGATAATATTATTTATTTATAGACTGGAAAAATTCAAAGATATTTTACAAGGGGAACTAGGAAAATTCAAACAAGCTGAAAGTGTCTGCAATAGTTGAACAATCTGATCTCCATTTTATCAAAGGGAGAAATAAATCAGAATTTATAAAATGCAAGATGAAGGACCATTAAAGCTATATTTTATTTGACATGTTATATACTATTTA